AACAATCACGTCGATTTATTTGATGCGTACTGTGCGCAATCTTAAATTCCTGTTAAAAATAATACTAGCAAAAATCAAAATACACATCCCGATAGACATTTCTCGCACATAAATATAATAGTAAACTTGAAAACCTAACCGACTTATCCGCGGGTGAAGCAATGGATAATGGAAATGCGGCTGGATCAAAAACTGGATCATAGTTGTTTCGTGTTCGCTTAGAATCTGGCCACCCTGCCGTAGGCTCGATTTCATAATAAAAATCTAGTAGGAAAAAAGCTTGCAAAAGCTTTTAATGGTTATCTTTTTCACAAACAGGTGGCGCCAAGTGCAGCTCGAAAAAAAATTTCTTGCTCGACTTTTTTTTCCTGCTCGTTTAGCAGCAGTCTAAATTTACATGAATTTTTCTAAGTGTGTAGTTCATGTCTCACGACCGTACACAGCAAAAAAAAAAAATTTTAATATTACATCCATGAGGATGCACTTCAATCAAGTCGAAAATCTCATGTAATTTTTATGGCCACAAAAATAAACAAATGCACACACTTAGAAAAAATGATGTAAATTTAGGTGCTCTGAGACTGACATATGACCAATTCCACGCCAAATCGGTCAGTCACCAAACTTGACTATCTTCGATGTGGATGATACTTGGCACATATTTTCAGTATGATAGACCAAGTATTTTCCGCAGGAGAGGAGACCCTTTTGACTCAAGGATAATTTTTGAAAAGGGCCTTTGTGTTTTTGCACACATACTTTAAAAAAAATGTAGTTCGAAAACAGTTGGTTGTAGAAAAAAATTTACTTAGAAGGAATTGTAGGAAACTAATAAGGCTTTATAAAAAAAATATACACGGAATTTTTTTTTTCGTTTTTTTACAAAAAAAATTAAAAATAAACCTCAAAATTCAAATAACAAAAAAACGTATATTTGATTTTTTTAATATTTTTTTAATAAAAACTTGAATAGAAAGCAGGATTTTTGAAAACACTCCAGGATGGACAAACTTTTAATAAAAAAGTTTTTCTAAGAGCAACTTTTAAGACATTTTTGAAACTTTCATTATTTACGGCAAAATGTTTAGTTTGATGTCAGTATACGATTATAAAAATCATTTCAAACGATAGTGCTCATATCGATAAACTTCCTAAATGTAACCGTTTTCGAGATATTTCAAATTTACTTTCATCATAATCATTTTTTTGTAGAAAGTATGCCCTTTTCGTAAGTTATACGTGATTGTCCATCAAATATGATAGGTTTTGCAAGATATGCATGTACTTACCTTCAACTTACCCTTCCACCAATAGACTATTGGAAAATTGGTTTTAAACTTATAAGATAAATAAGATAAATATATGAAATACCCATGCGTTTTTATTTGCATCTTACATTTATTACTTTCGATCGTCTTTAATAATAATAATTTGTACATAAATCTTTTCGTTGGATATATTTTTATTTGATGAACTTTTGATTGGCATGTTTTTATATGTTATGAATGGTGCGTTCTTCGTCATTCGAAAATAGTTTCGCTGATATTTGATTTTCGGAAATCGGAACAATACAGTGATATTTTCTTGTACCTGGGATCGTTTTGGCCTTTACAAAAATGCTTTTGTTCGTATTCCTTTTGTGACACAAAACAAAATGACATTTTTGTTAAATAATCATTACTCTTCTGGTTAGCCCATGCATATAAATCTGCTGCACTTGTGATTGGATGTTCGTGTTCTACAGCCACACTTGCGTTCCTTGCCATTCGTTTTAATGTGCCACCAATCGCGTCACATGGTCCCTTGCCATGCGAAGTAGCAAAAAAGTGCCATTCAACATCAATATTGTACTTCGTTTTAAACTTACAAAGACTTGCAAATTTTTTGCAATTTTTATATTGGGATGCAGCTCCATCAGACATAAACATCACTTTTTTTACTTGCATTTTTGTTTGCAAAAAGTTCAGTAATTTTGAAATAAATACTTGCACCGCTTTTAAAACCGTTTTTTAAAACTTCAGAGATTACGATCAAGCTTAAATTTTTAATTATACCTGATTCTGAATAATAAATGCAAAAAGGATGAATAGTAGCTTGTTGATTATTCCAGTAACTACTTTGGGCAGCATCTTGAAGAACAAATGAATAATTTTCGGAAAAAAATCACAAATTATGACAACTTCTCTATTTTTAAGAGTATTTTTTGTATTTCTCAAGAAACTAGACTGCTGAGTTTTAATATAATCATGGGATACCAGTTTTTCCAACTTTTCGCAAAAATAAGGAACAAATCCATCTACTGATTTTACAAGTTTCTCTAAACTGCATCGATCAGTTGAAACCCATTGTTCAAAACATATTTCAGACATACCCTGTTCCTCGAATTTTTCTGAAAAACTTCTTTCAAAATCTGAGAGACCTGGACAACGTTCGCATTCGCGGAGATAACAATGTTTAATTCTGGATGATGAGCTGCATAATATTTCTTCAAAATAATGGTTGAAATCTTTTTCGAATGAATATTATCTAAGACAATGAAGCATTAAATTAATATTTTCATCGATGGTACAAACACAAATATTGTGAGAACCTGAACTACCAAGTAATTTGCTATGCTTTGGTTTTAGTGCTGCAAATGAACTAAATCCAATGCTATTTTTACTAACTTCTTGAAATTTAATAAAAGCTTCTCGCAATGGTACAAACTAAAAGTCGCTTTTGAATATGAATCTTCTTACCTTCCTTCTTCACTGAAACGTAATCGTTTAGTCCTGGCGTGGCTCTGCTTATCTGATCGCTTTCGAAGAACTGCAATACCTCGCTTTAATTTCGGGATCCAAACCATGTCCTAGCCTTTCGTTGGGGGTGGCCAATACTCCTTTCCCGTTTACCAAGCATCGAGCTTACAATACAATGTATTTATTTGTTTGAAACTCGTTCGTTTGCGTTGACCAAGATTTCGGCAAAATCGTCAGAATCCTTATTTGATCGTCTCTCGATGAACCTGGATCAGCAAATCTCTCCTTCAGTTGTCGGGTCATCTCATTGTGTTCCGCAGCTTTCAATTTTAGTTGCTCCAGGTCATCTTCTTCCGCTTGAAAACCTAAGATGCGTTTCTTAATGCCATTGGTAATGTCCATATACTTTCTCCGGGGATAGTTAACATTCTGGAATTTGTTTGTAGATATTGGCGATACGTTGATACCAGCTATGCCCTTGTTGAATAGCTCAATATTATGCGTCCTGGAAAATTGTTGCTCTCCACTATCCTGAGATGATGCTGTTGTTATTGACGTCGTTGATGGTATTTCTTCGAGGCCATGTCGAGATGTAGATGGCTGCGGCTCCGCGATGTCCATGACAAACGGTTGCACTTCTAGTTCCAGATTTTCAGCACATGGTTCGATCCTATTTAAATTCAAGCGACACGTATCACAGATTGATAGAGATGTATCCAAATTAAATTTCCACTTTAGGAACTTATGTTTTTCAATCAAATTTTCGGATAATTTACGAAGCTTTGACGAACACCGTTTATTAGTAAACGGCTTGCAACACTCGACCTTCTTGAATTCCATATTCAAATTATACTTGTTCACTCAAAAAGATACTATTGAGTGATGAACTAATCGGTATTTTTTAAGATTTTTGTATACACGGTCAGGCCTGAACATACACATTACACGACATTACAGCTAAAATACTACTTTTCGAAATTATGAAACTATGAGATATTATAATAATAATTTGTGTTTGTAAGACGCATGTAGAGGAGGTAAATTTTGATAAATGACACATGACATATAATTTGTCAATTGCGCATCCAGAGTGTCACAATTAGCGATTAGCTATTATAACGAATAGTACTCACTCATGACGATTACTCACTCATGACGATTACTCATTACACCTAAAATAGCTAATTATGACCCTCTGTAAGCAAAATTCACCGGTTTTATGTGTCATACACAAACTTAACCTCCTCTTCTAGCAGCTTACATATAAAAATTATTATTATAATATCTCATAATTTCATGATTTTGAAAAGTAGTATTTTAGCTATAATGAGTATGTTCAGGCACAAAATTCGATAACCGCAAAATTCTCAATGATAACTATGAAATACTCAATAATTACTATAAAGCACGCAGCTTCGAGCACGCAGGTGGCTGTTACTGAGCCACATTTTAAAAGCTCCATGTCGATGGAATATCAAAGCAACCTCTGTTAAATTTGCAACAACGGCGTCAAGTTTCCATAAAATCAAAATAGGGGATCAAGCGTGTTCACTCTCCGATATCTACACCCTGAATTATTTCGGTGTACGGCGATGAAGCTACTCCTGGGAAAATAACTGCAACTCATTTATGTAGCAACAATGCCTAATTGATTGGTAAAATTTTACTCATTTTCTGGGTAGTTCCATTTTCCTTTAAATAATATGCATACTTCAAGACCAACAATTGAAACGGCCTCAACCCATTTTGTAAACAAACCTTGTAAGGCAATTTTCTCGCGAACTGGAACCTATATTCGCAAACCTAAAACACAATCGTATGGATGCTGGAAATGCCCCTACCTGTTAATTTTGTTGGTTTGCGTTAGCGGCCTTCGGTTCGCGATAAAATGGCCTCACAAGGTTTGTTTACAAAATTGAGTTGAGGCCTTTTCAATTGTTGGTCTTGACTTTATAGTCTTGTACTGGCCGACTTCGAGGTAAACACCATTTTTGCGGGATTCGCTTATTGTACCCTTCCAGCTTTAGCGACTTTCTGGTTCGTCTGGTGATCTATAATAAATTTTTAAACCAGCAAAATAAATACGAAACAGCTCAACTGTCTGAAGTGTTAATATCGTTGACCTACTCTGCAAATATAAAGACAATTTCGTTACGAATTAATGAGATTTAACAACTCTGATATGAGTTTGGCTTTCATCGGGACCAGCAGATGGAGAGTGACATAAAATAACTGAAGTTCAATTTTTTTCTAAAAAGGAACAATTTTATTTACAAAACCATTAATATCTCTCTTCTGTATAAATTACATACATGCATTCTTTCTCACTAATAACAACTTGTACACACATCAATTACTTGAATGTTTAAGTTAGGATCCGCATCCTAAACCTACAACACAGAGCTTAGGATAGTTTGTGTAGAATTTAAATAGGTTTTTTTTTTATCCATTTTCTAGAGCGTTGATGGACTGCCGTACATTGCAATTGACACCCGGTATATTTTAACTTTAGCGTACCGTGTAAGCACCTGTATCACTGTTATCGGTTCACTGCCAGTCTGGTAATTGGTTGATTTAGCTACACATATTACAAAATTGCTCACCGCATTTGCCGCCTGAATTCTTCCAGCTCATGTATGCTTGTCGAAAGTCTAAACATATAGTGAATTGTTTGTTTGTTATGAGATCAAAATGCAATGCAATATCATTCAATTACCTTCCAAATGCGTTAAATAACGCTACTATTTCAGCTCGTTTGAGCTTAAACTGGGGATGGCTTGGCCTTAGTTTAGTTTCGAAACCCGATTCAACATCGCTGTCAAATTTGCCAGAGAACAATATTTTCAGTGCTGTTCCCATTCCTTGAACCTATAGTCAAATAATTTCTTAAGTCATCAAAACAATAACCAGTCAATAATACTACAAACTGACCTGTAGTTTTCCCCATAGCCGACATTTATCACAGCCAACACAGTCCATAATTTTCGAGATGTTCATAAATTTCTCGCGAAATTCATTTTTAACTTTGACCGACGAAGTTCCTCCACTAAACATAACCGATTCGTTGAAATGTGATGGGAAGCCTTCAATCACGTTAAGCAGATCTTTTACCGCAACTCTTATTTCGCGATCCTCTTTCTCACGTCCAGTGAAATATTCTTCATTGCGTAAATATGGTGCAGCTTTGGCTAAAGCCCGCAGTTCAACGAGATACGCAAAGTACAAATTCCTCAGCCAGTGCTGGCCTTCGTTGTCGGTGGTCTGAGGGCTGAATCTTCGCTCGAACTCTCCCATGTTTGTGCCCCACACTCCCGTTGGAGAAACGAATCCCAAAGAGGTTTTCTCCGATAGAAGGTAGTTGGCACTCAAGTGGATGTTTATACTGGAATGGAGCCCGGAGATCATTCGATAAAATACACGGTGCTCGAGGCATACTTCGTTCTGGGTCATATCGTGGTATGGAATCATGGCAGCATACGGATTCTTACGACGAACAGAATGGGACCTAAAAAGAGGAGTTACGATGGTGAAGAAAAGGATTACCTTCAAAAATACACAACACTCACTGAAAGCAGTTCTCCAAATAAATGCTACTCCAAATTCTTCTCGCCGACTCCCCTCGGTATCCGGTGTACCTTTCCGGATTCAATAGTAAGTCCACATACTCCGCACCAGGTTCGTGGTCATCCGATATGCAAAAATTGTCCTGAGCTTCGTCATAGTCCGCCCATTTTTGGAACTCTTGATGAGCCTTATCACTAATACTGGTATTTAAGAAACCAAGCTCTTTATCCAAATCTTCGTTGCAATTCGTCAGAGTTTGTACTTCCTTTAGGTACTGCAAAAAAAAACATATGATTGTTTACGTGATAACCGGCATGTGACCACTTTGCCAGTAAGTATCGCCAACAGGTTTTCCCACTTCAGGTTACATGCATTATGATGACAAATAGATAAGCCAGTGGTACACGCGGGCTGTGTTAAATCACATTCAGAATTTACGTGGATGGATATGTAGGTACAATAGATAATCAAAAATTGGAATTTTATTTTGGGAACGTCTAGCAAAACAACGTACTAACAAGCGTTGAAATGCTATAAATGAAACACTTTATTGCTGCTAGACGATGGATATATCGAACAATCAGCATTTGCAAGCTGCCTTATCGCAGAATAAAGCAATCAAACGCACGTCTGATGTAGTCCTCACCACGCTACTACTCACCTTATGGTAGGAAGACATATCTCCTTTCAGCCCCGGTGGGATGTCTTTCTCTTCGCATTGCTCTACGTGACAGAATCGCATAGCACACTTGCTGTCGTCGACCCAGAATGGACATTCCTTCATGAGATTCACCTTATAGTAACGGAAAAAATCCTTGACTAGAAGACTACGCAACCGCGGAAAAATCTTGACGTTATTGTAAAAATCCACTGTGTCCACGTTGCAACTGCAATCGTCAATCGTTCCCTGCAGCTGGAAAGAGATTTATAGCAGTGAATTTGATTATTTTACAGTGTAATGTTAATTGTGATTTCGACGTTGGAAACGCTATAAACAAGCTCATTGATGGGGTTTAAATTATGTTTGCAGCCAACAGCTGAACATTTGTTATAAGTATATTTAAATGCTGCTATCAATTTTATTGGAAAATTATTTGAATCTCCGTATATTTGTCAAAATAAGACATTTAAACCGGTTTACCTAACAAAATTTAAAACAAAAAGGATTTTATAAAATTTGAATGCCAACAGAATTTTAAAACCTGATAAATTGTTCAAGATTTTAAAATAATGCACACATTTTGAATGTAATATAGCGCTGCATTTTACAATAGAATATCATATAGAACTTTGAAAAATATCAATCATTATCCTTTGCTGGCCTGAGCAAACTCTGCGGGATGAACTCTACTTTACGATCAGAAAGTTTTGCTGCCAGTATCAGATAGTATTAGTTTAAACTATTATCGTATGCTATTAGATAGCTGCATATATGCTAAAAGATAGCTGAACGAGTATTGATTCTACCAAGCAGATAACTGCTATTAGACTCGGAACTGACAGCAGCAGTAGAACGAAACAGGCGAGAAACTGAAAGCATAAGAAAAACGTTCTCATCGACTGAACAATAAGATCTAAAATCAATGAGTGAGTCGTTTTTGGCTCAAATTCTATCCTTTTGGATTGATTTTATCGACTAAAACCTGTGACGAGTCATACAAAAAATGTGACAAATGAGAGAGGGTGGGGGGGGGGTGGTGTTGTAAAAAATTGGCCCAATTTGCGTGACATAATTAATGGTCCTTCCCATAGAGATAAGTTAATGTACCAGAACCTGGACGAACACGAGTCTACCCAGAGGAGGACCCGGATACGACCACCCATGTGTATCTAGAGTATCGCACGAGCTGACGAGTGCAACGGGAAGGACACTAGGTGTATAGTAGAGTGATGCAAAATTTGCAATTTTCGCTCCGCAATACTTAAACGATTCCAAATCGGATCCTGACTAACCCATTTGGTGAGAAACTGAGATGGCACAAACCATTTGAAGTTTGTATGGGAATTACTATGGTAAAACCAAGATTTTTGTTCATGTCTATCTAATAATTCACCATATCGGTCTGCTTCAAAAACTTTCAGCTGTACTTGTAAAAAATGTTCCCAGCTACAACTATGCTCTAGACCACTTTTTGATTAAATGCAAAGATCGAAAGTTATCAATGGTTCAATGCACTGATGTCTTATGATCATGCTCAATCAACTGCTCAGCAGGCAACATTGGTGTTTCTGGGGCGTTGAATAGGACACAAAATCATGGCTACTATGTCACACTGCAAAATACAGTGTTGCCTACAGAGCAGCTGCTTGATCATGTCATAAGTTTACCAATCTCTTAAATAATTAATAACTGTTTCCTGTCTCGTTTTACATAGAAACGATCTTCAACAAAGTTGTAGCTGATTTTCTATAAGAATGGCTATCGAACTGTTTCGCAGCTCAATATGGAAAAAGACTAGAAGGCAATGAACAAAAAGTTGAGATTTCCCATAGTAATTTACAAGTAAACTTCAAATGGCTTGTGCGAAGTCTGTTTCTAACCAAATGAGTTGTAACTTTGGGAGGCTAATCAGGACCCGATTTGAAACCATTTAAGCACTGTGGAGCGAAAAAGTCAAATGTTGCATCAGTCTAGTGTATAGCCTAGGGGGCTAGACCATAGATAAGCCAAATTAGCGGTTGACACAGCCTATACACTGAACAATTACAATTGAAATTACTGAGTAATTGAAAATTCACTAATTATTTCAATACTTTTGATAACCGATCACCTTACAAGGTTGGTAGAAACCCCTCGCAATTCGCCTAAAGGTATACTCATTAATCTGCTATTCTGCAGCCAAAAGAGAAGAGAGGGAGATCGTTTTCATATATAAGTTCGCTTGCTTACGGGGAACCTATGGGCAGCGTTTGCCAGAAGTTTTCGTTTCCATTCAGCCCTATGCAATAAGCCGAGTAAGCAAACAGCGCAGGAAAACCAGCAACTACTGTCGCTGGTTCGAAACGAAACGAAAACGAAATTTTTTACCGAAATCAGAACAGCTAAATCACAGACAAACAGACATAACACGAATACGCATTTAACGGCCAATTTAAATGTTTTTAGTTGGTAGCACTACTATTTGTGGCGTGCATAGTCAATAACTCTTGTGTTTGACGTTTACACACTACCGCCATCTGTTCAGCGTACTATCCATCACAGTATACTCAACAGATAGCGGTAGTGTTTTATATTGAAAAAATATTCAATGTGTTATGTCTGTTTGTCTGTGGCTAAACGTTCGGTAAAACTTTGACCTTCATTTTAAAGGCTATTGAATTTGAAAATAATTTCAAAACATGTTCAACTTTGTTTAAATTAATGATCAAATCTAGTAATTTTAGTGGACATTTTGTTTGAAAGTAGCTGAAAAGCAATTGATATATATTGCATAAATTTTACCGAACAGTTCAGCTGATTAGATTTCGGTAAAAATTACCGAAGTCGGCGATAATTTCTGAGTGTGTAGGGTGGGTGAACCAGCAGTGGAGGAACTAAAACAATATATTTACTAATTGAATAATTGAATAAATGATGCACGTACAATTTTTTTCCTTTGTTTGTTTTCCGTCGATCTTGTTTTCCGTGATGAGCACTAAGGGCCCATGCATTAATTATGTCACGCTAAATCGAGGAAAAATTTAACCCCCTCCCCTCCCTTATCGTGACGTTTTTCTTATACCTAATGCATTGCTTGTCACAAAATCTTAGACTCCTCCTCCCCCCTTAGAGCGTGACATAATATATGCATCAACCCTAACGCTACCGATGCCAGGAAGGCAGCTCCCAAACCTGGACCCTATCTATCGACCCATCAACTCATGAACCGGGGACCAACGGCTTTACTTCCCTTGATCAGATATGTTATGCCTCAGAACATCCCGGCGGTGCCGACTGAGATTGAACTCAGGCCTGCTGGGGTGAGAGGTAATCACGCTTACCACTACACCACCGGCGCCGCTACCGTACAATTTGTATACTTCAAACTATAGGTTTCAATCTGTATTGATAGTCAATGATATTCTTTTTACTTGAATGTTGTTCTACCGTTTATGTTGTGTAAAAACGTCAACCGTTTCAACCCCTGACTGCAACTATAGGTGCAAAGGAGTAAAAATCTTAAGGAAAATAAATTGTTTTCCGTCATCTTTGGGCTAATTTTAAATTTTAAAAATGCAAATCTGCTTTATTGTAGGGAAGCTATCGATGAAAAATAACCTTATTCGGCTTTCCACCATTATTCCGACAAAACCCCCATACCACAACTATAGGTACACTATACGAGTGTCTGGAAAGGTCATGTGGACCATACGTTTTACGAGAATTGAAAGCAGGCTGTTTCTGAATGCCGCTTTGATAAACGTTTGTGACCATAACCTTTGAAATTGCGGACTTATGACAGTTTTTGGTTTATATATTGCGCATTTCATACCAAACTGAACAAATAAACGCGTTTTCACTTATTACACATTGTGATAAAAGTCTAGGGAAACCTCTTTCCAATCGAGCAGAAGGCCTGTCAAATGGCTGTCATGATGTTATTCTAATTTTCTTTACTTTTACCACATTTTTGTTAAACATGTAACTTATAGAACAGGTTGGACTTTTAGTAACGGGGCGCCTCTGAACCACCGACAAACCGGCATGGCACTTAATTTTGACTTATGCCCGAAAATCGCAAACGGCCGATTTAAATGTGCAGTGATCGAACTGTCAAAACCATAGGATTTTTTTATCTAGATAAAAATAATTTGTCCAGGATAGATCAGTCACGAACCAATTCATAACTTTTGCATGCGGGTTCATGGCTTAGCTAAATATTTGCGGAGAACTTTGACATTTGGGCGCACTTGCTTTTGTAAACAAACACGTCAAACACCGATTTATCGCGAATAAAAGAACAATCTCGCGAATAAACTATACCAGAAACAGATATACATTCTCTGCTTGAACGTCAAGTAGTACAGTTCGGTCTTTGCTCGCTCTGTTGAGTTTTTCGATAAACCTATAGTTTGTTACAAACGTTCGCAGATATACTGCACGTCGCGTCGTCAGTAGTGTCGGTCGCATCGCGTGATGGGAAGAAAGCGCTCCCGGAGCAGACTTCGTGATCAAGCCGAGAAGAAGAACAGCGGTGAGGGTAGCTCGGTACCTATCTCAAATAGGTACGCTACTCTTCCCACCGATGTTGGGAATAACAACCCAGTCCCGGTGAAGCGGACAAAAAAGAGGAAGAAGAACCAAGGACAGTCCGATGGTACGAGCGGACACGACGATGTTACCGCGACGAACGCCAGCGACATCGGTGATTCTGCCGGCCCGAGTGTGGCGAAAGTCAAGCTTCCTCCACTGGTGGTGAAGATAGTGCCACTCAAGACGCTCATTGACGATTTCGCATCGCTGGGCATCGCAACTGAGTACAAGATCAGCAGGATCGGCACTAAGGTGATGCTCCGGACGAAAGCGGAATATGAAATCGCCGTCAAATTCCTGAAGGATTCCAATGCGGAATACTTCACGCACGACATCCCCGGTGAAAAGCCCTTCAAGGTAGTCATCAGGGGTCTACCGGATGTTGATCCCAAGGCGATCGAAGAAGAACTCAAGGACCGGTACAAGCTGGCCCCAATCGCTGTCTTTCGGATGACGAGGAGAGACGAAAACGTGAAGACGTACCCGGATTGTCTTTTTCTGGTGCACTTCCAGAAAGGGACGGTGACGCTCAATGCGCTGCAAGCCATCCGATCGATCTTCTCCATCACCGTACGATGGGAGCCATACCGTGGCGGCCATCGTGACGTAACGCAGCGCCAGTGGTGCCTCAATTTTGAACACGGTACCCGCAACTGCAACATCAAGCCACGCTGCAGCAA